AACTTGTGTTTCGCACGCTCATATGACCTTAGCAGTTGCGAGCGCCGTAAAACCTTATACTACTACTACTACACCCTGTAATACTCCGTGTCTCTTTTCTCATGCATTCTTTCTTTGTTTCTCCTTGCTGTTTATACCAGCTACCATGTCCCTGTTCAAGAGGATCATCGGAAGAGGTCATTTGTTTTTTAGGGAGTTTTGCCTTTCTTTATATTTCTCATTTGTCACTCTTTTATGACAAAAAAGGTCCTCCTATAGGCTTGATGATTGGCAAGTCCTTATAGTTTCGATCTTGCATAGGAAACGCCAGATCAACTTCTGTGTGGGTGAATTTTTGTCGAACGTTTTCATCTTTCTGCTGGTATAGGATGTGTCAAAACAGCCCGTCGCCTGAGCAACTTAAATGTGTCGTTGCGTACGCAAATATTCAATGTAAAACTACATTCTTCTTCTAAAATCCGAGTCTGTGCTCTTCACTTTTGAACGAAAAAGATGAGGGTCTGATTCCCACATTGGGAAGTCTACTGTATCGAGTGTGCTCGTAATGTCCTGTCCTGAGCTGCATCCTAATGAGCCGGACATGTTGCACTCAGCCCGGGTTGGCCCTGGTAAGCAGGGTCGAAGAAGGTAAGGTCCTTCCTTGTCGAGGCGTGTGGCGATTTATTATTGCTGAGCTCTGACCCACCGTGACGTTTTTGGCTGCCACTGGCCATGCGTGGTTTTAGGTCAGAGCTGATAGTGTCAACAGTCTCAGACAGGTTCAAGAATTTAAGTACCTCAGAAGTATATTCACAGAGGATGGGCGACTGAACAGAGAAATTGAAACACGAGTACAAAAGGCCAATAATGTTAGTTACCAACTTACTCCACTAACGAAACATCCTAACATCCCCATGACAACAAAACTCAAAATGATCATCAAAATATTCATCCCAACACTCACCTATCAATACCAAACATGGACCACGAACAAGACATTAGAGCAACGAATTACATGTGAAATGCGATGCCTTAGAAAAGCAGTAAACAAGACCAGGCGAGACAAAATTAGAAATTCTTTTAATCCGAGAGATGGTGGACACAAATGATGTCATGATTCACATCCAGCACCAAAGAATCAAATGGTTCGTACATCTTCTACGATTACCAACACACCATCTTGCACAACATGCCTACATCCAAAAATTCGATGGCAACAAGGCTAGAGGGCGACCGAGAAAGACCTGGATAGATGGAGTCAGGGAAACATTAACCACCCACATCGTCCCCCTGACCCAAGCTCTCCGGCTGGCGACAGAGAGACGTTTCTTTCTTCCCGCGACACTCAAAAGGGTATAAGCGGCGGATAAAAGTAAAAAGCTGAGAATGTTGTGTGGATTCGTTGTAGACTCACTAAGACCTGAAGATGTAATATATAGGGATGAAAAAATGGGCAGAGTGCCGATACTGTTAAGCGAGTGAAAAGTAAGCTAAGGTTCATTGACAGTGTTATGCTTGGTGCTACGAAGCGCTGGTCGACAATTTTCGAAAAATGTTAATAGTGTTGTTTAAAAAATCGCTACCTCTTAATTTCAAAGTTCTCTCAGCTCATTGCCTAGTTTTGAGAAATTTGAGCTCAAATATTTTGAGTTTCACAACATGTCAAGCTTTTTCGAATGCTATTCTTTGAATATCTTGATGACGACTCCGATTAATTTCACGATTTTGATACAGGAGATAGAACATTTGGTTTCTGAACCGAAACAGCCAAAATTGTCTGATAGAACTTAATAATTTTGAGGTAGTTTAAGGTGAAGGCATGCTTTTAAAACGATTTTTTTTACTATGCGTTTTTAAATACTTCTACCATTATGACTTGTAAAATAAAACCAAGACGTGCTGTGAACTGACATGAAAACAACCAACTTGTGCTCTGCGCGACTGCGCGCTCGTGTGACATTAAAATGCAGTTGCGAATGCCATTAAACTTTTACGAAAACGAAGGTGTGCTCCTTTCGGTGAAAGATGAAGTCTTTAAGATTCGTTGAGTGATCTACCCTTACATCAGTGACTTCGTGCGTTCGCTATTCTTTTACGTAGATGACGCCCTCTTTGCTCCAACTGTGGGCGACTCCCAACAGCAGATAGTTCCCCGCCGTCAGAACTTCTGTGACACGAAGTGAAGTATTCTTTGGCTTGTGACGGTTCCTCAAAATACGCACTTTTTAATGTTTTTGAAACAAATTTCACAGTACAGTCACATCATAATGTCCTATTTTTAAAAGCGAACTTCAGACACCATTCAAAAAAGTATTTAAAATAGTTTTTTAATGTCTTTGTTGATGCACAAACACCATCCAAAATGTTCAGAACATCAGAAACACAGGTAAACATCGCAAACACAATAGCTACATCGCTCTCCAAGAACTCATCCAAAGCAAACTACAACACCACTTTCCAAAACATCAAAACTAACAGAACAACAACACCTAAACTTTCACTCAAACAAAAACATTGAAACCTACAACGAAGACCTCATACTAGACGAATGAGCATAATGCATCTCAGCCAGGGCAATTCAGCTCACGTTCCAGATGGCATCCCCAATCAGATTATTAGACACCTACCCACAGAAACATACACACTTCTTCTAAACGTATACAATGAGTGTCTTTCAGGAGTCATGGCGACTTTCCTTTGTCATTCCAATTCCCAAACCAAACATAGACCACACACGCACGCACACACACACACACGCACACACACACACGCACACACGCACACACACGCACACACACGCACACACGCACACACGCACACACGCACACACGCACACACACACACATTTCCAACTAAAACAGGTGAAAAGTTATTTTTACTCCTTGTTCAAAAATGTTTTCATGAACACTGCTCGATATTTCGAACTCATTTTCAGATATACAAATATGTTCACGCTTGAGTTGACAGTTTCTGCTAGGTATGATGAAGACCAAATGACAAGATAGAGATTAGGATAGGCACCATCAATACGGAAATTTGTGTCAAACAGCATATAGAAAAACAGGATCGTAGGAGGTAAGGAACACACGATGAAAATGACGGCAATGAAGGTCACCATCTTGACAACCTTTTGATCCTTGACCCCAACTCCTTCCGCTGCACGGTCACCCTTGGCAACAGTTGCCTGCCGCCATTTTGTTTTACTATTGAGTTTGACGACAAGCACGATGGTACAGCAGATGACGAAGACGAAAGAAAGCGTCGTAGTAAATACGCCTTGGGTGAGATACGTAATGGCTTCCAGCAGTTCTCTCTCGGCCGTGTACGTAGTTTTTAATACAGTAGCATTCACGGTGAAATCGAAAACCCATTCAAGTCTGCTTCCAAGGCAGAAGGGAATAAGTAAAATGGACATGGTGATGTAGATGGAGATAATGATTATCTTTGTCCTTACAGGTGTAATGATCGTCTTCACCTTCAGAGGGGCAGCGATACACAGACATCGCTCGAAGGTGATAAAGGCGGTGATAAAAGTCGCGATTTTGACAAAGAGGTAATGGGGCATGGCTCCTGTGAGGTGCATGATATCTCTGGGTTCAAAGGGTAACTTAGAGAGGTAAAACAGAGGGTTCACGCAAATGCTTATCCATATCATGGTCACCAGGGAGCACAGGTCAGACAGAGCGAGCCCTGAAATGATAAACAGTTCTAGGGATGGAAAAATGCAATACATAATTTTGACCCCCCCCCCCCCCCCGCTTTTTCCCTTGCAGGTTGGATAGCATGGCTGTGGAAACCTTCTGACATGAAAAGAGGCAAACTAAGTTTGAATTTTTTTTTTTAAATTTCAGTAAATCATCATCATCATCATCATCATCATCATCATCATCATCATCATCATCATCATCATCATCAAGGGCCAGTTCTATGACTGACATCGGCGATCATGGTTCTCCATTCTTTCTTTTACTCGGATGTTCTAAAAAAAAAACTACACAACCCTGATGTTTCCAAGTCACCCATCTGTTTAGGCTCTCCAAGTAGGTTGCTCTGGATCTACCACTGCCTCGTTTGCCTTCAATATTTTCAGTGAACGCTAAGTGTTCAGGCCTTTATGTCTATTCAAGTGTCCTAGAAACTGCATTAGAATGTGTCTTTTCCTGATTATTTTTATCAGCGAGGAGCTCACATGGGCTTCTTCGAGTGCTGCCTATTTTGATTTTTTTTCACCCCAAGTTTTCAGTGCTCTCTTAAGAAATCATATTTCTATTGCTTCTATTTTTTCACTGTCTGTAGTTATTGTCCAGCATTCACCGTCGTTTGGGGCCTTCATCATACATAGCATTTCAGAACTTTTATTTTGGTAGTCATTGAGGTGTTTATATTTTTCGGGATTGGGCTCATTCTACTAAAACTATCTTTAGCTATTGCAATTCTTCTACCTCGTTTTATTTTTGTGAAACATTGGCATTATGTGTAATTGTATCCCAATTTGGTTTGCAAATTCTTAGCAACAGCTAACCTTTATGTCTGGAGGCATTTCCCCAATCCACCAACCGCGGAGCGCTGGGTTGGGTGTGAAGACCCAGTACTGTTTCAGTAAATTGTGTGTAATCAAGTTTAATAAGACGATATATATTTTTTGTTAACCTGCTTTTCAACTTGCTACATTAACCCGCTTACGAAGATCCCAACATACCTACCAAAGTACTGTCTACCTGCTTATGTCCCCTCGTTACTTTTTTTAGCCCGATAAATTCATAGGCTAAAACTAACCTTAACAAAGACTGTTCCCAAGATTTCGTAACTGCACGGTGACATTAAATACGGTTCCAGTAAGGAACGGGAGAAGGGGTGCCACGTCCCTCATGACTCATTGGAGCTGAGGAAGATAGGACTGACGCGTACATTACATACACACCATCATACATCATTCACCGTTCCTCTTCATATTGGCAATCGACTGGCTGATGAAGGAAACCACCAGACGACACAAAAATGGTATACAGTGGACACCATGGACACAGTTGGACGATCTGGATTTTGCAGACGACTTGGCGCTCTGTCGCACACCCAGGAACAGATGCAAGCAACGACTTCAGTATTAAACAGCCTATCGGAGTCTGTTGGATTGAGGATCCACCCCGGAAAGTCAAAAGTCCTAAGGACAGATGCACAACAAAAGGAGCAGGTCACAATAGAAGGAAAGGCCCTAGAAAACGTTGAATCCTTCTGCTATCTTGGGAGCATAATTGACAGAGAGGGAGGAACAGGTGCTGAAATTAAGTCCCGCATTGGAAAAGCACAGGCTGCTTTCATATCTTTGGATAGGATTTGGAAGACCGGAGATATCTCACTTCGAACAAAGCTGGGGATTTTCAACTCAAACGTGAAGTCGGTCCCGTTGTATGGATGTGAGGCATGGAACGCATCACAGACTTGTGTAAAGAGAATCCAGGTTTTCTTGAACAGGTGTCTAAGAAAGTTACTGAGGATCAGATGGACAGACAGGGTTACCAATGTGGAAGTGTTAAGGAAAACAAGATAGATCCCAGTCAGAGATGAGACAGGAAGAAGGCGGTGGCGATGGATTGGACATACTCTCAGGAAGTCAGACAGCTGCATAACAAAGAAAGTTTTGGATTGGAACCCACAGGGCAAGAGATCAAGGGGAAGACCTCGTGGAACCTGGAGAAGAATCACAGAAATCGATGTACAGAAAAGTGGGAAGACATGGAACAACATCAAGAGGCTAGCCCAGGATAGAGAAAAGTGGAGGGTGGTTGTCCGTGGCCTATTCCCTGGTGCAGGGTGAGAAAGGCAATGACGATGATCATCATAGATCATCACTCACCTCCACCATCATATGTGTGAGGCAGCGTGGTGGAATCAGGCTCTCGTCAAAATAATCAAAGTGAAAAAACTTTCATTTTTCTGCAGGTTTGTGAATTTTTTATCAAATTTTTGTTTTTTGGCTCGACACCTTTCATGCTCATTAAAGAACTCATTTCTGTGTGAATTTTTCTGAAAAACGCTAACTAAAGGTTCAAAAAATGTAAATTTTCAGTTACCACGGACTCAAAAGTTAAGGAAATAACTAATCTTTGGCGGCCATTTTCTCATTAACTTTCCCTGAAAACAAGTGACCTCCACCTCCTTCATTTGCAAATATCTCGACTTGTATTCAAGATAAATGGATATTTTTAAAATCCAAATAAAGACAAGTGAACAAGCTTTCAGATTTCACCAATAACTCCACATGCCCCAAAATTGACGAGAGCCTGATTCCACCATGCTGCCTCACATATTTAAAAATCAGCTTTGCTCTCAGATCCTTGACATACATTTATATTCCTTAACTCTTTTATCTATAACAGTTAGAGGTTATAATAATTACGTACTATTTGACACTATCAAACCCACCTTTTCCCACTATTCAAATGACCTCAATCTCACAGAATGGGCAAGGGACAAAGAATAGGTCTGCAATCTTCACCGCTTTGAGATATTCGATCACCAAACTTGTTATATAGCAACTGTGTGTTTTGTTGTTCAGTTTTGAAACTGCACAGTGGTATGGAATTGGATTACCAGTCTTTTAAACACTTTTCACTTTTTGGGAAACTCACTTCTTTAGTATGGCGGTTAGGCGCTTCTCTGTGGCTCGAACAAAATGGGAGTTTGATTCATGTGTGGGGAGGACTTTTTATCAAGTATCTTCGTCTTCTTGCTTGGACGTTATATCCGTCTGAGCCCAGGCTGACCTCGACACTGTCAAATTATTCTGTTCCAATGCAGCAGCGCCCCTTTTAACAATTCATAAACGATTAGAATTCTAAAATTTCTTCAAAAATGGGGAAAATCGGGAATCTAAATCGCACACGAAAACCCCCCTGGATACAATATTCACTTGTGTGGGTTATTTAGGAGAGAAAGGTATTGTCGGCCGGCGATTTAGATGTACCAAACCCATGAATTTTGACCATTTTTAAAAAGCTGCAGCTACCTATTCTGTGGTACCGGTCATACGTGCTTGAGAAATAAATTGGTTGAAATGATATCCACTTCACTTAAGTGGGTAAGGTTTTTTCCAGGACTGTTAGAGAAACATATTAGTTGTAAGTAACTGTTGATCGGATTATTTTTGTCTCACCCATGAGGCTGATGTTCATGCTGTCTTGAAAGCCTTGTCTGACAAACACAACGATGTTGATGATGTTGGAGGCCACGCCAAACAGACTAACGAGACCACAGAGGACGACCCCGTTGACCACTTGGACAATGTACCACTGCTCGTCGCTTACGATGTCATAATGTGAAGGAGAAGGCGACGTCGTTATAGGCAAGCTGTCGTCGCGAGAGTCAGTCGAATTGTTTACCCACAGGTTTGAAAACGACATTCTGGGTAAGTGAGACGTTTGGGACATAGCTATCATTGTTACCTTTGCGCTGAGTTCATCCCCTATTTCAGACAGAGACCTTGATTTATATTCTCAGTACAAAGGAAACCAAAACTTAATCAAAGACAAAGAACCATCTTATAACAACATTCTTTCTTCGTGTTCATGGAATACACCCCGAACATTCCAACAGCTCTTTTTAATAAAGATGACGATTAAACCATTAAAGTTGAATAAAATTGGATGCATTTATTGTTGTAATAATATCTATGTTAAGTAATTATATTGAAAACGACTGGCCATTTATCTCTTTTAGCCTAGTTGAATTTGTTCAATTTTACTGAACGTCAGTGCTGAAGGTCTATTATAATAGATAGCATTCGTATAGCGCTAATTCCCGCTCAACAGCAAGCTCTATGCGCTTTACAATCTATTATATACCATTACCCCTTTATTTTAACTATTTGAGTAAACTTTCAGCACAGACTTGTAAAGATGTGTCACAGTCATCGTATTGACACTACTCCCTCCCTAAAAAAGGGGTAAATGCCTGGGTTTGACAGATTCAAATACTACGTTTTGTTATGTCTGGCTGCGTCCCCGTGCGTTTATTACCATAACTTGGGGGGGGGGGGTGTTCTAATGCATCTTAACATGAGTTGACCTTTAGAAACATGCTAACGGATGTGTTAAATCTTTTGTCAATAAGTAGCCTAAGTCGACCCGCAGTCGCTATGACAGACACAGCGTACGTTTGATCGTCGATTTGAGCTCACTTTGTCATGATCATTTGTCTGTCAATAATTATTCCTCTCGCGCGCTAAATTTGTCGGATTTTGTCTCGCTTAGTCGGATTTTTCTATTTTATTTTTTTGTGTTTTCATGATATTTCGATCCCGTAGGCCCTCGATTGTAGTCAGACTCAGACGGGTGTTAAAATAGCGCGAAATGACATACATTATTAGTAGTTGTAAAAGATGGACCATTTGACAATGAGAATGACAATCTTTATTCATCTCACAGAGAGGAATTTGTCTTGGTCGTTTACAGTGGCAGCGGACGATACAAAGGTAAGGTACACTCACGCATACGTACAACAAAACAGGACATTGGTAAATACATATAGTCTGCATGTTTTACGAGCTGAAACAACCCCCACTCCATAAAACATTCTCTCTCTCTCTCCCTCTTTTTATTTCTCTTTCTCTTTCTTTCTCCCTCTCTCTCTCTCTCTCTCTCTCTCTCCTCTCTCTCCTCTCTCTCTTTCTCTCTCTCTCTCTCTCTCTCTCTCTCTCTCTCTCTCTCTCTCTCTCCCTCCCTCTCCCTTTCCCTCCATCGGTCGTTGATATATAAAGAGACCCACTACCCCGTCTGTAGGAGGTGAAACCTCCCCAATGACGAAGTGCCGCACACGCACCCCCTACCCTCTAGGATTCGGTTGCGACACCTAGATCTACTTTGGTGTATCATTCTCTTCTCCTTCCTTCTTTCTATTTCTATCTTTTCTTACACGCCAACCTCATGTGGAGCCCCCCCCCCCCCCCCAGTGGGTCGGGGAGATATAAATAGACCCACTGCTTCGTCTGCAGAAGGTGCAACCCCTTCAAAGGCGGAGGGTCGCACAAGGACCCCAACCCTCTGGGATCCGTGTGCGACACTCACTTTGGTGTATCTTCCTCTTCTCCTTCCTTCCTTCTTTCTTTCTTCTTCTATCTTTCCTACCACCGCTGACCTCATGTGCAGCAAAAAGAGAGGTCACCCATCCCACAGAGTGGGCGCCTCGTTGACCATGAGGTGCGACCCGTGCGGAGGACTGTCCCTCGCCAACACACCTCTTTGGCCCTGGTTTTCCTCTTAGACGGGAGGGTGGCACGGCATGCCACTCAATCGGTTGAGAGCTGAAACCCCATCAAGCCCTGGGTCAATCTTGACGGGAGGCTCTCGTACTTTCTCGTTGAGAGTATAGCTCCGGGGTAGCCCTGGCACAGCTCTGGTTATCCGAGCTATGTGTCCCCTTGTTGGGCTCTGTGGCGGGCAGGGAGCCCCGGAGTCGAATCAAATAGAAAACTCTTATGGATTCAAAAAACCCAAAAGACCCTTCCCCAGCTCCCAACGTAAAGAAGTCTCGGCTCGCGGAAGCCGGTGCGGCCGCCGAGCCGAGCAAAAGCTCAAAAAAAGGTAAAAGGACCTTTACCGATGCCTCTTTCCTCCCTCCTCCCAAGGAGCTTCTGAGGCAACCGTACGTGGCCATCTCCAGTACCAAAGACGCACAGAGAAGAATTACCGATCTCAACCTCTTTAAGACGGGAGATGCACTACGGAAAGTTCTGGGATACATTCCCACATGTGTACAGAAACTTTCCTGTGGTACACTCCTTGTCAAGTGTGCAACCGAGATCGAAGTGACCAAACTCCTGGATACCACGACCTTCGGCGGTATTCAATGTAAGTCAGAGCACTACCAAAAATTTAACCGCTCGAAGGGTGTGGTCCGCAGCCATGAGCATGGAAGAGATTGTGGAGCACTGTGAGGGAGTGGTCGAAGCCCCCCCGGATTACTCTTCGGCGGGGGGAGACTACTATCGAGACGAACACGATTGTCCTAACATTCGAATCGTGTCGCCCTCCAGCCACCATTCGGGCATCTTACTTGATACTCGACGTAAGACCCTATGTGCCGAACCCTCTGCGCTGTTTCAAGTGTCAGAAGTTCGGCCATACCAGTCACGGTGCCGTCACGCAGCCGTGTGTCCTCGTTGTGGCAAGACCGGGCATCCTGAGAAGGAATGCAAGGCTAGTCCTTGTTGCCCCAATTGCCACGGCCAGCACACAGCTTTCAGCAAGGAGTGCCCGACTTGGCTCCAAGAACGCGCCATCCAAGAATACAAGGCGCGAAATGGCTGCTCCTTCCAAGAGGCCCGTAAGGTTGTCTGCCCGCCAATCACAACCCCAGTCATTGGCCGGTCATATTCAAAGGCAACCCAGATGGTCACGAGGTCGGCAAGTAATTCTACTGCCGACCTCCCAAAGCCTGCGGTCAACAGGCAAGTCTCTGCGCCAAAGATCACCAAAAATAAAAAGCCCGCTACTATCCCTGTGCCCCTTTGAGGTGCCACTCTCTAACAGCTATGGGGTTCTAGGGGAGGACGGGGAGGACTCTTCCTCCGCCCCCTCTTCTCCCCCTCACCCCTCTTCTATCATTTCTTCTTCTTCTTCTTCTTCCACCTCTCAGCCCATCCCTCTGATGGAGTGTGAGGTGGGGGCCTTCTCCCCTCCCCCAGCCCCCTTCCCCCCTTCCCAGCCCCCTCGGTCTACTCCACCTCCCCCTACCCCTCCAGCAGACAAACCCCTGCCTATGGAGGAAGACAGCTCCGACCCCCCTCCCCGGCCTGACCCGGGGAGGGGCGGAGTCTGTCACTCTTCCAAATCCCCCACTAGACCGCCGTCCAATCCAGGACGGCAACCTAGAAAACACTCTGCCTCCCCCGTAAGGAGGAGTCAGAGTGCTTCTTCGAAGCCGGGGCCTTTGAGCTCCAAACAAAAACCTAAAAAATCATAATGGCGGTCCTGCAATGGAATGCCGGCGGAATCCGACCTTCCATTGCAGAATTGCAACATTTACAGGCCACACTGTGCCCACGGGTGGCCTGTATTCAAGAAACAAAATTCGCCCCGGCTTCAACCATAGACTTAAGAGGATTTACTGCGTACCATCACATTCACACGCAGAACCAGATTGCTTCCGGTGGTACCACCATCTACACCGACAACCACACACTCCACAGACAAGTACATCTTAAGACGACCCTCCAGGCTATTGCCGTACGGGTCACCCTGCACAGACCAATCATGATCTGCTCAGTTTACATCCCACCAACTTACCCCCTCAAAATAACCCAACTAAATGACTTAAAATCTCAGCTCCCAAAACTTTTTATTTTGCTAGGTGATTTAGTTAGCCAGTCGTGAAGTGAACTTTCGCAGAGGTGAACAACTTGTGTTTCGCGCGCTCATATGACCTTAGCAGTTGCGAGCGCCGTAAAACCTTATACTATACTTATACTACTTACTTCATGTGGAGCAAAACTAGAGGTCAACCATCCCTCAGAGTGGGTGCCTCGTTGACCGTGAGGTGCGACCCGTGCGGAGGGAAACCGGGTACCTGGAGGTTGAGGTGAGATCAGTCTGCAGACTGTCCCTCGCCGACACACTTCTTTGGTCCAGGTTCCCCTTAGTCGGGAGGGTGGCACGGCCCAAGCCACTCTATCGGTTGGGAGCTGGAACCCGTTATTGCCATGGGTCAATCTTGACGGGAGGGTCTTGTACACTCTCGTGGAGAGTATAACTCCGGGTAGCCCTGGCACAGCTCCGGCTATCCGAGCAATGAACTTCCGTCTTATCATCATTCATTTTTAAGTCTGCTTTTTATGTCATCCAGTTTTTTACATCAACAATGCATTTTTCCATGCTGGTAACTGGACAATTGAAATTTGCTGGTAAAACTGACGTGTGCAGCTGAGAGTGCCATCTGCGTACGTGAGGTAGTTAACATCGTGCTTCCTAATTATTGAACCTAAAGTTTTTTCACCATCAATGATTTATTTAAAGAGGCACCAGCCATCCATGTCCAGGTGCTGTTTTAGCCCCCTAAAGTTTTTGTATATAGTGTGTATAACAGTGGTCCGAGCACGGACCTCTGGGGCGCCCCAAATTGAAAGCTGAAAATGGATGACATTTCACAATTTACAAGTACAGACTGTGTACGATTAGACAAATAGGACTCAAACCATTCAAGAACAGTCCCAGATAGGCTGAAGCTATGGCCTAACCTCCTTATCAAAATTGAATGATCAATGATATCAACAAATGCAGCACTTAGGCTAGAAAAGCAAGAACAGACACTTTGCCTTCGAGTGCTTCACAAAGGTCACTCTGCTTAAAAATGCAGTCTCTGAGTTATGAAACGCTCTGTAGGCCGACTGATAACATTCTAAAATATTATTTTTTTCAAGATGTGCTCTTAATTTTTTTTTAAAGATTTTAGACAAAACTGGAAGGTTAGAGACCGGCCTATAGGTCTTAAACTCATGCTGGGATAATGACTGTTTAGTAGAGGTGTTACTTTACGACTGCGTGCCTAAAACGCGAATGCACTGCTTCCGAAAGGAGTGAATCATGAATAATAGCCGTTACAACATCAATAACAACGTCAAGATGGTTGCCCAAAAAAGGTGTCGGGATAGGTCAAGGCAGTAGTACTTTGGTGGTGATGACAGTATGTTCTCTTTCACTGAGTCCCGTGGTACAGGTTTAAAATTACATAGGAGGTTCCCTTGGAACTCCTCGAATTCAGGTGCAGATGAACCAAATTTATCCAATGTGTAATCAGATTTTTATGTTCTGTAAATCATTTTGAAGTTATTGGCAAGTGACAAGATAAGCCGGTTAAGCCTGCATCGTTACACAAAGGCTGTCGTAGATGGAACGCACTGAACTGTATTCAGAAAATCCCCACGTTGAAACCGTCGGTTCGCCCTCCCGATTTAACTTTTTTTTCTCGCAGTTTTTTGGCATTGTAGACCCTAGAAAAATTTTATGTAATGTAAAAGAAATAGGACTATTTAATAGAATATGAAAAAATATATTTATCGTTATCGGTGTATATATATACACTGAAATTAATATTGTATATACAAGTCTTCACCATATTTTCAAAAATTTTAAAATAAATGTCTGTCCGTCATTTAGCATAATGAGAAAAGTGTGACCGTGTGCGGTTGCGAGCTCCGAAAGACTCTTACTAAAACACGTCTGATTTTGTTGCGGTGAAACCTATTGGTGCTTAAATGACCAAAAATGTGTCGATAGTGCCGTAAAACATCAATCGCAGTTTTTCGTCCTCATAAGCGGTCCTCCCGCCAGGTTTGCCTTTCCATTCCGAACCAGCAGTTTGGAATGTATATGTGCAGGGGGCCTAATCCAATCGGGAAGACGGCTGCATCAGCCTGGGCAAAGATACCAGCGAAATTTGCTCGGTGGGTCAAGATGGCCTTTTCATGTTAATATTTGAAACAGTTCTTTGAATGTTCTCCCTTCTGGCAATTTGGGAACCGGGGAATTGACGAGCATGATTCCTCTGAGTGACCCTCCTTACACCACAGGGAGGGCAAACAGCATTTCGCCGGCATTTTAGTTTTGTATGTTCTAAGCGCTGACAATTAAAGCAACACATCGGGCTAGGTGTATATGGTCTAATCTCGAGTTCTGAGTGTTCAAGCAACAGTTTTGTCGGTGGTTTTGGACAGACAATCGACAATATCCAAGTGTTGGCGCGGATTTATTTTCCTTTTCGCCGCACTACGACACGACGAGCGTGGTTGACACCTTCAAGTTCAAGTACCATTTCTTCCTCCGTACAGCCGTCTAGGTCACGGCTCTTTACAACACCCCTGGAAGTACTGAGACTCCTGTGGCTACACTTACAGTAGGGTTATCCTCGAATGACGTTCATTTCCGTATCAAAAGGAAGTCGGCCACTTTGGCAAGGTCCACAAAGAAGTTACAAGATCCCTGAGGGGAGACTTTCTTTGGTTTTGGGATGATGCTGCATGCTCTAAATGCTTTACCAGTGGCAAAGGCACTTAGCAATGTTACTGTTTTTTGTTTGTTCAGCTGAGGAGATCACCAAGTAAGATGACCATCCTAGCGTCGTCCGTTTAGGCGCTTATTTTCTCCCCTAAGTTTTTTTTTTCGTTTAACCTGGCCAGGAATCGCACCCATTCCTCCTGACAAGTACTTTCTGGGAACTGGTATGGGGAAGGGGGACGGGGCGTGTGTTTGTTTGTTTCCAAATGTTTTATAACATTTATCTCCAGGGCTCCCCATCCGCCACCGTGTCCAACAAGGGGACACCGCTCGTAAATCCAGAGCTGTCTTGCCTTCTGACCAAGATTAACCAAAAACCTGTTTTATTAATCCATCATAATCGATTGAGTGCAGTAGGCTGCTACACTCGTCCACCTAAACCGAAACCAGGACCAAAGTGGTGTGTTGGTGAGGGAAGCCACACCTCAGCCATCATGATCCCCTTCTCCGGTTGTACGGGTCGCATCCCAAAGTCATCAGGGTGCCTCACGTTGTGGGGTTTTGAATCTTTTTTTGCAGGACCGGACCTACTACGTCCGTCAGATCGGACAGAGAGGTAGATGGACAGAAGAAGACATAGCAAGAACGGACAAAAGATGGCACCCTCATCGCCAAAGAGCTAGTGACATACAAGTGGCATCCCATCAGAGGGGCAATGGCAAACCCTGATGATGGGATAGGAAAAAAAGAGAGAAGGAAGAAGGCAGAAGACAGACAATACACCAGGGTAAATGTCACCCATACGCACCTGAGTGTAGATGTAAATGGTACCAGCTGGTGTCTTTGTGTGCGTGTACTTGTGTGTGTGTGTGTATGTGTCTTTGTGTGCGTGTTCTTGTGTGTGTGTGTGTGTGTGTGTGTGTGTATGAGAGAGAGAGAGAGAGAGAGAGAGAGAGAGAGAGAGAGAGAGAGAGAGAGAGAGTGTGTGTGTATGTGTGTGTGTGTGTGTGTGTGTGTGTAATAATAATAATTTAAAAAATAAAAATAAAATATATAAATAAATGACACTTTTAATTTATCCCAAAGGGGCACTTTGGCTTACAATGGCCTACACAAATATCGTAAATAAATACACAATTATAAATACATACATACACATACATAAATACATGCACACATACATCCATATGTGTGCTAGCATCAGAACAATAAGCATATAGATTATCTTATCTTAAAACTATGTATTGTTATTTCTTTGTTCATTATTAAAAAGACATTTTCTCTAAAGGTGAACAGTTATTTTTCCTCCTTGTTCAAAAGGGTTTTCATAAACACAGCTCGGTATTTCGAACTCATTTTCAGATACACAAATATGTTCACGCTGGAGTTGACAGTTTCTGTTAGGAATGATAAACACCATATTGTAGAATAGAGATTGGGATAGGCACCATCAATACGGAAATTTGTGTCAAACAGCATATAGAAAAACAGGAGCGTCGGAGGTACGGAACAGACAATAAAAATGACGGCAATGAAGGTCACCATTTTGACAACCTTTTGATCCTTGACCCCAACTCCTTCCGCTGCACGGTCACCCTTGGCAACAGTGGCCTGCCGCCATTTTGTTTTACTATTGAGTTTGACGATAAGCACGATGGTACAGCAGATGACGAAGACGAAAGAAAGCGTTGTAGTAAATACGCCTTGGGTGAGATACGTAATGGCTTCCAGCAGTTCTCTCTCGGCCGTGTACGTAGTTTTTAATACAGTGGCATTCACGGTGAAATCGAAAACCCACTCAAGTCTGCTTCCAAGGCAGAAGGGAATAAGCAAAATCGACATGGTGATGTAGATGGAGACAATGATTACCTTTGTCCTTGCAGGTGTGATGATCATTTTCACCTTCAGAGGGGCAGCGATACACAGACATCGCTCGAAGGTGATAAAGGCGGTGATAAAAGTCGCGATTTTGACAAAGAGGTAACGGGGCATGGCTCCCGTGAGGTGCATGATATCCCTGGGTTCAAAGGGCAGTTCAGAGAGGTAGAACAGCGGGTTCACGCAGATGCTTAGCCATATCGTGGTCACCATGGAGCACAGGTCAGACACAGCGAGCCCTGAAATGATAAACAGTTTACGGAGTGGAAAAATGAATACATAGTTATCCCCCCCCCTCCACTTTTTCCCTCGCAAGTTGGGTGACAAGGCTGTGGATACCCTGAGACATGAAAAGAGTCAAACCAAGCTAGAATAAAATTTTGCATTTTCTCAAGTAAATCACAATCTGCTACAGACATCGGCGATCATGGTTCTCCATTCATTTCCTTGCTCGGATGTGTTTTTTTAAAGCTACATTATACTGATCTTTCCAGGTTACCTGTAATATCTGAAATATGTTTCGTAGGCAATAACTGTGTTTGGTTCACTATCGTTAATTACCGTAGTTATGTCTCCTTGTGTCATGTGGTCGGTTCCTGATTTCTGTGTACGATTGCTGTGATGGGACTATCCATGTGTATCAAAACTATAATGAAGAATCACATATTTGGCGACGTGGATTAAACTTGTCAAGTGATTAAAGATTAATGTTATGCAGTTATTTCTTCACTCCTATGAGCAGTAACCTGTCCTGATCGGGTTAGCTCTACTTTGAGCACAGTAAAAAAAACAATACATACAGCCGCCATGACACTGTTTGGCAGAATTGATGAATGCGTGCCTTCGAAAGAAAAGTTTTCAGACTATGAAGAAAAATTAAAGTTTTTCTTTTAGGCTAATTCTGTTGATGATTCCAAGCAACGAGCAATATTTTTTGCAGTGATTGGTGCACAGCATTTTAGATTACGAAAGAACTTTTGCATGCCCCACACCATCACATATAGGAACTGTATGCATAGCTACGCAATCATCATGAGCCTCCACCTCCTAAATTGCTCCGGCGAGCTACTTTTGAAGCTAGAACACGCCAAACAGGTGAGCCTGTTCAAAACTTCATAGCATAACTAAGAAAGTTAGTTGACCCCTGCGAATCTGGAGCTCAACTCTGAGGAATTTGTACGCGGCATTAATAACGAAAGTGTTCAACATATTAAATTGCTCGCAAAACAGACTTGACACTCCATGATGCTATTGAGGTAGCAGTGACTACAATTGCGGCAGCAGAAGCAGCTAGAGAGCTTCAACTTCAGACAGGCATAGAAATGACACAACTCTAAACATTTCCAAGTCTCAACGTAAACCATCTCACAACCCGTGAAGCCGTTGTGGTGGTCCTCACGCCTCACATGCTTGCAAGTTTAAAAATGAAAAGTGTTTTAATTGTTCTAAAGCAGGTCACAATTCAAACATGTATAGATGTAAGCCAAATTCAACAAAGTTTGGGCCAGCAGCGCGGTGAAACAAAGCAAGATGGCAGAGCAAATCACAAAAACACAAGTCATACGTACAAGATGAACCTGATGATGACAACTTCCATGTTTTTACCATGAGTGACTCAAGGTCTACAGCCAGACTCATTGATGTGGAGCTAATTGTCAACAATAACCCAGTCAAATTTCAGGTCGACACCGGTGCATCTCTGTCAATGATGACTTGAAATGACTTTCATCATTTCAAACTTCATGCCCTTCACAAGTCGAACAAAGCCCTCAACACTCACACAGGCCGAGCAGTTGAAATTGTTGACGAAACCAATGCGGAAGTTCTCTTCAATAGTCATCGGAAAGGGTCACCTCTTACCATCGCCAGGGGATAGGGTCCCTCGTTACTTGACAGCGACTGGCTATCGTAAATTAAGTTAGATTAGAACTCCATCTTCACCCTCAAGGTACCAAATGGCCTAACACGTGTGTTACAGGAAGATCAAAGTGTGTTTGATGAAAGCGGCCTACTCAACGATCATGTTGTGAAACTACATCTTAAAGAAAACGCTGTCCCAAAGTATTGTAAAACTCGACAGCCCCCCCCCCCCTCCTCCTCGATGAGAGATGGCATTGAAGAAGAACTTACACGCCTGAAATCGGCTGGTATTATTCATAAAGTCTCTTTCTCTGATTGGGCAACATCTATTGTGCCAGTGCTGAAACGCAATAACACAGTGTGCATATCAGGAGACTATAAGGTGACGGTGAATAGAGTTATCCATGAAGAAAAATATCCAATTTCACGTATTGAAGACCTTACAGCAAAACTATCTGGTGGAGAGAAGTTTTCAAAAATTGACTTTTCTCACGCTTACACCCAACTCCAGTTAGATCCAGAGTCAAGAAAACACACAGATCAACACTCACAAAGGTCTTTATGAATACCAGAGATTGTGCTTTGGAATAATCTTCAAGCCCCAGTACTTTTCGAAGAGTGATGACCGTTTATTCCAGGACATCCCAAACACGTGTGTTTATTTTGATGATCTGTGTATGACCGGGGGCCAACGACACAGATCACCTTGAGACACTGAGCAAGGTACTATCAGTGTGTTAGGAAAAAGTCCTTCTCGCCAACAAAGACAAATGTAAGTTCCTTCAGAATGAAGACACTTCCTTTGTTTTCGTCTTAACAAACATGGACTCCAGCCACAGCAGAAAAAGATCAGAGCCATCAAGGATGCTCCAGCACCGCAGAACATGCAGCAGTTGAAATCATTCTTGGGTCTTAACTACTACTATTCAAGCTTCATCGACAACTTGTCTCAACGCCTGGCCCCACTTTATGCTTTAATCACCAAGAATGCCCGATGGCAATGGGGGCGCGCACAGATTCAAGCGTTCAATGGTGCTAAGCTGCTCCTTTCATCGAATTCTATTTTGGTGCATTTTGATCCTTCAAAAAAGATCATTCTTACTTGTGACGCCTCACCTGATGGTGTTGGCGCAGTTCTGTCTCATGTGGATAGTGTTGGTGAAAAGCTGATTGCTTATGCAAGTCGATTTCTCAATCCAGCTGAAAAGAAATATTCACAGTTGGATAAGGAAGCCTTATCTGTAGTATTTGGAGTTGGGACATTTCATAAATACATTTTTGGTCAAGAAATAACCATTGTGACCGATCACAAACCTCTGTTAGGATCTTTTGGTGACGCTAAACCAATCCCGGAGCACGCATCTGCTCGTACGGTGGGAAAAGACATTATCAGCGTACCACTACCACTTGGAGTATCGCGCGGGGCCACAGAATAACGCTGATGCATTCAGTAGACTCCCACTGCCAAAACAAACAGCTGTTCCTTATGTGCCTGAAGAAATAGACTTTTGTTTGATTTGATTGACAAAACACCACTTGACGTTGACAAACTAGCAACAGGGATAAAAACTTACCCTGTACTAAGAGACAAGTGTTTCATTTTTCAATGAATGGTTAGCATGACAATAAACTTGACTGCGACAGTCCTCTTAGAACTTTCAAAGCTTGAAAAAGTGAGATAAGCATCGAAAGAGGTTGCCTATTATGAGGACCAAGAGCCATAATTCCTCAATCACTTCAAAGTGATGTTCTAGAGTTACTTCATGATTCCCATGTAGGGATGACTAAAATGAAAGTATTGTCAAGATCCAGGGTTTTGGGGTCAAAATTAGACTCTGACTTAGAATAATCTGTCGAAGCGTGCTATCAATGTCAATTGCATGCCAAAAAGCCAGCCAAAGCTCCCTTACACTATTGGGAACGGTCAACAGATCCTTGGGATCGCTTACACATGGACTTTTCAGGTCCATTTATGGGACAAATGTTTCTGGCCATTGTAGATGCCCCCTCTTAGCGGCTAGATGTGAGAATAATGTTAGACATTAAAGCCAATCAAACAATCATTGAACTTCGTGATGTGTTATCCGTCGTGGGCCTACCAAATTCTATCGTAATTGACAATGGCCCAACCTGGACCAGCTCAGAATTTCAAAAATTCATGACGGCTAATGGCGTAAAACCCATCACCGTTTCACCATATCATACTTCCTCGAATGGATTGGCAGAACGAGCGGTACAAACTTTTAAAACTGCTATGGTTAAGATTGACAAAGGTTGTGTGAAAGAAAAAGTGTACAGATTTTTCACTAAATATATAGGTCATCTCCTCACTCAAATACAGTTCTTTGTCCATCGGAGCTGATATCCACTAGGAAAACAAAGACACATCTGGATTTGCTACAACACCCTGTTGTTCATTCATGGCCACGTGCAAACACAGCAGGTAAGACAAAAAGAAAATCGTGATAAAACTTCTAAGAACAGACGCATTGAGATAGATGACAATGGGTAAAGTTGTACATCAGACTGGTCCTCTGTCTTTTGAGATTCAAACTCCTTCTCAAAGACTGATAAGAAGACACCAAGATCAAATTCGAGTCACAAGTTGCGATTTTGAAATTTGTCTTTCTGATCAGTTGTCTTTAGTAGAAAGAGGGGAAGAAAGTGTACAGAAAGAAAGGTGCGAGTTTGAGAAGGAAGAAAGTGTACTGAATGAAAGAATTAAAGATGGATGAAAGAAACACTAAGAGTGCAAACAAAATTAAAAATGCTTCATGTCCTCTATCTGAGCAAAGCTTTGTGTTAATGCCTCCGCTCTGGTTGCACCAGAACAAATAGCCAAGGCTACAGTAGCAACAGCAGTGAGTCTCTCGACCCTGTTGTTATGACTGAAAACCTCCTGCACTGAGAAGGTCTAGCAGACCACACAAGGCGCTAGACAGGCTTGTCCCATAGTAGCTTTAAAGTATATCTAATCCCAAGATGTTCTACTTGTATTGCAGCAGACCCTGTGTGTTTGTTGCAAATGATTATTGTCTTATCCTTGTTACTAATGTTACTCTGTGTATTGTAAGCAATTTTAGTATGTGAATGATTTGTGTCCAATTGCGACCACTGTTTAGAATTTGATTTCATATTCAGTTTGGAAAGGTTTATCCCAAACTCAGTTACCTTCATTTTGGTCCTTTGATTCACACAATATGAAACGCTTAAAAAGGGAGGAATGTAACATATCTCTGCAATATGTTACATGATCAATAACTGTTTGGTTCACTATCGTTTATTGCCGTAGTTATGTCTCCTTGTTTGAATTCGTTAATTTAGCACTCTTCAGGATGAGCAGTAAAACGTTATGATTCAGTAGTGTCATGAACATCCAACATGCTCCTTTCAGTGTACGGTTATTGTACTGGACTATCCATGTGTATCTAAACTATAATGAGGCATCACATCACCCATCTATTTAGGTTCTCCAAGTAGGTTTTTCTGGGTCTACCCCTGCTATCTCTCCACTCCAGGTTCTCAGCAGTCCCCTAAAAAAACACATTCCTGTTAAACCGTTTCTCTTTTTCCACTGTCTTTTGTGATTGTCCAGCCTTCACAGGCGTATAAAAGGGTTGACCATACATAGCATTTCATAACTTTCATTTTGATAGTCATTGAGATGCTTCTGTCTTTTATAATTAGGCTCATTTAGTTGACAAGATCTTTACCATGGCAATTCTTTGTTTTATTTCTGTGAAACAGTTGGCATTATAATTATATTTTATGAAATTGAATATCCCAGACATTTAAACTGTAGAATTTTTTTTATCTTTTCGCCTTTACTTATGGGATTATAAATATGATTAACTGCTTTTTATATTATCATTAATAATAATTATAGTAATAATGATAGATTGCATTTTTATAACGCTCTATGCCATACTAGTAGAGGCTCTGAGGGCTTTACACCAATCTCATAATCATTGACACAAGAAAAATATTTCACAGAAACAAGAAAAAACAGTTCAACCACGTAAAGAAGAACTTTCACAACATACATTAACTATACTACACGAAAAGATATATACACGATAACTAACAATTAAACAAATGAGTCTTGAGCAATCGCTTAAACCTATCAAAATTTGTTGTTTTATGAGATCCGGAGGCAAGGTGTTCCAGATTTTGGGGCCAAAAAATGAGAAACTTTTCTCACCAAAAGATAGTTATTTCATTCTAGGGACTCTGAATTTTGTTGCATCTGCGAATGACAGTATCTGACGAGATGGAACATGCCGTGTTCAAAACTCAGATAGATAGGATGGGGCTTTATCGTTAAGACATTTAAATCAGATGGTAGAAACATTATATTGGATTCTTTTATCAACTGGAAGCCAATGCAGAGCTTTTAACATTTTGGATGCAGGACCTTTCTTCTTTTTCTTCAGCACTAGTCCAGCGGTGTTATTTTTGGCCACTTGCAGCTTCCTCATTCGTTCACAGGAAATACCAGACAGAACAGGATTACAGTAGTCAAGTTTTGACAAGACAAGAGAGACAGAGAACATGCATGCAACATTGGCACCTTATCTTACTAATTCTTCTGAGATCAAGGTACATACATTGAATAACATGACTTATACTTGGTTGTGTTCAAGGACATATCTGAATTTAAAAAGATACCTAGATTCTTGACCTTGTTGGGAAAGGATATGCTAGTATTTTCAATTTCTAACCAGCTTCCATTAACGTCATTAAGGTTTTTTTAAACTTCCAAATAGAACGATTTCCGTTTTTTCTTCATTCCACATTAATTTGTTTTCCCCCATCCATTTTTTTCACTCTTTCAATGCATTTCTCTACTCTTTCTATGAATTCATTGGTGTCACATGGGTGAAAAGGGCAATATATCTGTGTGTCATTGGCGTAGAAATGGTAAATGAGTTGGTACTTTCGTATAATAATGCATTGTGTGTTTTTTCACATTCAACAATACCCCTACACCCCACTTTCCGTTACAACAATATCTAGAAAGTCCTTCTTTTGAATTTGCAATTAAAACTTTGCCAACAGCATTTCTGATGCTGTTAATAGTTTCGCAATTCACTTTGAGACCTGGGCATTCTTCTACATTTTTATGGATAGTTTCACGCACTGTATACGTTAAAGAGATCTGGTGACATAACGCACTCTTGTCTCTCTCTTTTAATCTCCCTATATTTGCTGTATTTTCTATCAATTATTACAGCAGCATTTTGGGCCCTATATAAATTCCTAATATTTGCTGTGAGAGACTCATTGGAGAAAATATATAAACGGTAAACTTCACAACATCGTGCCCAAACTGGGGCCACGAAAACCGTCTTTTTTTTGCTCGATTGCGTGTCGGACACACCTCCCTGACACATAAATATCCCTCAGGGAGATGAGTAACTGTTCTGTGTCGGATGCGACACAGATTTCACCTTTAGACAAATTCTAACAAAATGTCCAGACTTTGGAGAGACTCGAAGGAAGTATTTTAAATGCAAAAAAATTAAATTACAAATCTGTTCTCCGTCGTTGGTCTCAACAGAATTCTTGATTTTGCCTTAACAATAAATTGTAAATACTGTTATTATAGCACCTTTATATGTTATTTTAAAACTAAGATTTTTCCACGAATTTTTTACATTTTAATTGAAATATTGACCCAAATCAAGCCGTGCTTTGAACTATTGTGAATGCAACTAACTTTTCTTTTGCGCGCTCATATTAGTCATATGACCTTACGCAGTAGCGAGCGTCGTAAAACTTTCACTAAACAAGCAAGAACCTTTGTCTTCTTGTTTGGACGTTGTATCCGTCTCAACCCGAGTTAACATGGCAGAAGCGGCCTGCCTCCTAAATGAAATGATCTAAATTGTATGGATGTAGGCGTAAGGTATCTACAATTACATTACTTTTGTTGACTTTTTCAAAATAACGCCACAAAGCCCATTAAAACAAAAATGTCCTTCGTAAAGACAGGGAAAACGTTGTTGCCAGAAGTTGAACAATGGAGAGTGCCTAGACTGCAACGGTTTTGTTTGTTTGTTTGTTTGTTTTTGTTTGTTTGTTTGTTTTGTTTTTATGTATCAGTTTGTCTTAACTTAATAATAATATTTTTCCACAATGATTGAGGCCAAAGTAAAAAAAAACTTTCCTTCATGAATTTATATAAAATACTATAAATGTCCGTCACGCGGAAAATGGGATTCTTCTCTGTACTTCCCATTTCTCACACACATTTTGCATACGCATATGTGTTGCAGCGTGGTGGAATCAGGCTCTCGTCAATTTTTGGGCATGTAGAGTTATTGGTAGCATCTTGAGGCTTCATTTGTCTTTATTTTGATGAAAAAAGTATCAATTTATCTTGAATACAAGTCGAGATATTTGCGAATGAAGGAAGTGGGGGTCACCTGTTTTCAGAGGTGAAGTTAGTGAGAAAATGGCCGCCAAAGATTATTTATTTCCTTAGGTTAAGAGTCCGTGGTTACTTAAAATTTACATTTTTTGTGCCTCTAATCTACGTTTTTCCGAAACATCCTCAAGAAATGAGTTCTTTAATGGACAAGAAAGGTGCTTAGCCAAAATATTTAAAAAATGATAACAATTCACAGACCTGCGGAAAAATGTAAGTTTCTTCACTTTGATTATTTTGACGAGAGCCTGATTCCACCACGCTGCCTCACATATAGTTTACGTCACAGCTCATTATTGACACATTTTTAGTGGCAAAATTTGTTACAAGAAAATAATTTTATATTGAGCACCTGTTAGCTCTAAAAGTTCTTAAAACTTGTGTTCAATGAGCATAATGTAGGGATTAGAAGAAAAAAAAATGAAAAGACACGCTTTTAAAAACGATATTGCCCAAGCAGTAAACATTTAAAAATATGTAGAAACCACCTGCTTGGATTTTTTATTAGAATTTAATTAAAAAAGAAAGTTTCTAGAATACAGCTAACAGGTGTTTACAAAAATATTGATCTGTTAAGACGAATTGATTCAAGTAATCGTGCAAAAGCTGGCGAATCTATGTTTGATAATTTAGGAAATATTTGACAACGAGTTGCTTCACGAATTTTTGACCACACTATAGTTGTAAGTAACTGTAGATTTGATTATTTCCATCTCACCCATGAGGCTGATGTTCATGCTGTCTTGAAAGCCTTGCTTGGCAAACACCACGATGTTGATGATGTTAGAAGCCACGCCGAAAAGACTGACGAGACCACAGAGGACCACTCCGTTGACCACTTGGACAATGTACCACTGCTCGTCGCTTACGATGTCATAATGTGAAGGAGAAGGCGACGTCGTTATAGGCAGGCTGTCGTCGCGAGAGTCAGTCGAATTGTTTACCCACAGGTTTGTGAACGACATTCTGGATAGGAGAGACGCAACGATTGTTACTTTTGCGCTAAGCTCCTCCCCGATTACAGACAGAGACTGTGATTTATGCTCTCAGTACTCAGGAAACCAAGACTTAATCAAAGACAAAGAACCATCGTGTAGCATCGTTCTCTCTTTGTGTTCCTGTATTACGCTCTAACATTATAGCAGCTAATTTTGATTAAGATGTCGATTATACCATTAACGTTGTATAACAAGAGGCATTAATTGTTATAATTATATAATTTATGTTACATAATTATTTTTCAAACTGTCTTTTTATCCCTTTTATTTTAATTGGATTCGTCTAGTTATACTGAACGTCAGTGCTGAAAGTCTGTAATAATAGATAGCATTTGCACATTGCTAATTCTCGCTCAAAAAGCAAGCTCTATGAGCTTCCCAATCTATTTATAATTACCAAATTATGTTAATTATTCTAGTTAACATTCAGCACTGAATTGTAAAGATTTGATTGTCCCAGTTATCTTACTGACAATATCGGCCCTCAAAAGAGGTAATTGAAATGCCTTTGTTTATCAGATTCAACGTTTTGTTTCGTCTGGCTGCGTCTCCGTGCGCTTATTATCTATCATAACTGTTTTGTTTTTTTCGAATGCACCTAAAAAATATAATGAGTTGATCTTCAGAAACCTGCAGACGGACGTGTTAAATCTTTTGTCGATAAGTAGAATAATACATGGTGCTCATTACGGATGGGATCGACCGACTCAGTCGCCTGAAAAACAAACGTGTTTGTTTTCAGTTTCAGGCGACTGAGTCGGGCGATCGACCTGGGCACCCCGTATAAGTCGACCCGCAGTCACTATGACAGACACAGCGCACGTTAGATCGTCGATTTGAGCTCACTTTATCATTATAAATAATTATTTGTCTGACTATAATATTTCCAATCGTGTGAACAGTCTTTCGCGCGCTAAATTTGCGGGAGTTTGTTTCACTATGTTGGACTTTTCTATTTTGAATGTTTAATGTGGCTTTACGATACATCGATACTGTGTGTACTCAACCGCATTCAGACGGGTGTTGAAATGGCGCAAAATAACAAAAATTAACAGTTTTTGTAAAAGAGGTACTATTTGACAATGACAATCTTTAGACTCTACTCATCACACAGGGAGAAATTTGCCTTGGTCGTTTACAATGGCAGCGGTTGATACCAAGATAAGGTGTACTCACACATATTCACAACAAGACAGGACATTAGTAAATACATGTCCCACGTGCTGAAACAACCCCGCTCCATAAAACATTCTCTCTCTCTCTCTCTCTCTCTCTCTCTCTCTCTCTCTCTCTCTCTCTCTCTCTCTCTCTCTCTCTCTCTCTCTCTCTCTCTCTCTCTCTCTCTCTGTATATATATATATATATATATATATATATATATATATATATATCTATATATATCTATATATATATATCTATATATCTGTGTCTCTCTGTCCCTCCCTCTCTCCGACTGTGTGTGTATGTGTGTGTGTGTGTGTATGTGTGTGTGAGAGAGAGAGAGAGAGAGAGAGTGTGTGTGTGTGTGTGTGTGTGTGTGTGTGTGTGTGTGTGTGTGTGTGTTTGTGACATGTGTAACACTGTGTGCTCAGTAACCTGATCGGAGTTGGTTCAAATGAATTTCTATATCTGCCTGCCATTGTTTTCTGGGAAATATATCCTTTACTGCGAGTAAATAATTGAAATGTCAGTGGGTGGCTATATCGTCATTTAGCATTATTTCCGCCTTTTTAAGAAAGTTTGTCGTGTGTGAAAGTACAAAGTTACTTAGGTCTCTACCAATTGTTCTTTATGCCATTTTGATCAACTTGTTTATTTTTGTGGTGTGCAACCATAGCTAGAAATACCAAAATTTATCAAAGCTTCTATTGTGGAGGTGCACAATATCTGAAGGATGGATGGATTCAGATAGAAGGACCTGAGTTTTCTCAGAAAGTGCAGCCTCTGATTTATATTTTTAACGAGCTTGTTCACGTAATTTTGCCATGTAAATTTGTTGTCGATTGTGAGACCAAGATATTATGACAAAGTACTTTCAATTGTTTCTTGTTTGAATTACGAGAGTTGGGATTGTTGGTTTTCCTCTTCTTAAGTCGAAAGTCTCTTCTTTTATTTTTGAAAGATTCAACTTTAGAAAATTTAAATTGCTCCATTTTAAAAAACTACTGCTAGCAGCGTGATTCAACCACGTAAGTCCTTTAATAAACCTAATTTTTAAATCCCCAATTTGGAGGATTACTGCAAACTACAAAGGGTGTATTCCTTCAGTATATCAATCGCCTATATCACACCATTCTCCAATTTCCACGTGATTCAATTGCCCATGTGCCAGTTTTGCAGCCAGCGGGGAATAGGCGGTTTGAATCACGCAGATTCAGCGGCTTGTTGAGGTGTTCACCTGTCGCTTGGGCGGACTGACCCACACGACTGTGGCTTTTGTCAAAACGGACTAGATTGTAAAATCAAAACAAATTGCCGCCTTTATTAACTTTGACTCAGATCGAACCCTATCGACAGCCTGAAGAGTTTGTCAAGGCAGTTTGCGTAATCTATCACTAAGTTCGGTAGCGGAGTTGAGAAAGGGAGAGATGACATCAAAGAATATGTTAATACAGACTCGACCCCAGTCGGTAAATTGTGGCAAAAGCTACTGACGAATGGACTTCTTAAAAGTCTATGATTGACAACAAAGGCTCGCTTATTTCACATTCGATACAATCATTAGTAAATAGTGACATTTGGCATTTTTAGTGCTCTTTGCTGCGTGTTGCATGTATGTATCATTTTTGAACAGTTGATCGGTTAACCGCTGCCGGGAAGATTATAATTTAACGTGTCACTCGGAAAAAAGCAGCTAATTAACACATTCACAAAGAAGAATCTCTCTTCAACAGGCCTTCAACTTCAACTCTCCAGCTTTACACTCCTACTTGAAACAAATCTCCGGTGACATGCTACTTGAATCCAAAACAATAAGTTTGTATACATCTGCCATTACACAGTGGTAATTCGTGACTGTTGCAAAAGACAGTTTATATGACTTGGAGATGGGAGCTCTACGATTGTCATATTACCAGAGAACAGAAGAGAACAAGCATTTTTGAGATAAGTAATTCTTTGACAAACTTGACGAAATTGCATTCCCACTACTACAAACATAATACAGGCAAAATTCTATCTGGAATAAAATTTTAAAGCTTTGAAGGCCTTTATATGTAGTAGCAAAGATATTGTGAAGAGTCAAATCGGAACACATTGTCCCAGACGACTTTAGCTAGGCTAGATCTAGATATTCAAAAGAGCAACCTGTTGTTGCATGTATCTCGGAACTATCAATGTGATGTATGCAGGGTAGGAGAAAGAATCTAAAAGAAGCGTGCACAAAACCCTGTGGATGGGACCAGATTATATCCAGTGTGTTTGGGCTTCAAAGCAGATTTGTTAGTACAGCGTTGAACCCACAGGAGAAGGACCATTGATTGCCAATGAATTCTTGTGTCAGTAACTTTCTGGAGGAGCCTACTGACAACAAATCTTGGCATATGCAATCCGCGACATTTGTACTAGATAGAACAAAACTGTTGAACACAATTGCCTTGGAAAAGAACAAATGCAAATGGAAGTGGACAGCACCCACGTACCGTATAATCGAAAGCTCAGTGAAAAAAGGTCTGATCTATGTTCTCATAGATAATCTTGACAGCTTTTAAGAAAGCAAGACAGTGTACTCCCCCCCCCCCCCCCTTTTATATTCGATTTCTTGGCCATTCAGACCTGATCTGGCTGAAACAAAATCGACCCAGTTGTCACAAACGTTCGTTGCCTTTGATACACATTGAACAAAAACATCCAGTACAAATTGATCGTTAAGATGAATGGTCTTTGTTACCTACTCCAGGAGGCCAAAAAAAAGTTCTGCCCCAAAACACCCAACCACATTGTGTTTGGATCACCGGAATATTAAGCAATCAAATCAACTCATTAATAAACTCATAATTAAAGCATGATTATTTTTATGATAATCCCAGACGCTACCTGTCAATGAACCAAGATTATTTTTCTATGTAAGCAACAGTAACACTCACATTTTTCTTTATTGTTTGTAAATTATACTTGGACAGTTCCTACGTCTACCGTCAGTTTCTGAACGGGTCAGGGGGAGTTGTGTGTGTAAAAATAAGGACAAGAATAGAATGAGGTGGTATGAAGGTGTGTCGTGAAATTTTTACTGTGAACGCCCCATGACGGCGTAACCTGAAAGTAAATGATTGAATACCTTTAAAATGTAAATATTAGCACACAATTACTTGAAAGAATGTGTTTATAACTTATTTTGTTGGTTTTAAGCATTAATATCTTTACATATAAAGACAATGAAAATTAGGAAGAATATTTAATTAATTTCAAATTACATGTAGTATATACCTTCTGTTTTCAAGCAACAAACTTTAACTATCTTTCTTACTTCAAATATTACTCGCTTAATTTTTTGAAATTATATTCTATTTGCTCAGAAATAACTGAAATGAAAATGGAATGCTTTATAATTACTCTTAAAATGAACGATTATAATTTGCTTTTGTCGATAATTCAGACGCCTAAGTGACTATCGGTGCTCGCCGAGTGGCGTAGATTAACGTGATTCAAACTCCAGGACGTCGTCATACTGCAGTTAGGCTGTTGAATCACGCAGATTTAAGGCAGATTTCGTCTACACCACTGTGTCCCGTAATTTTTGTAAGAAATAATTTTTTTATTAAATATCTGAAAGTCAGATTTATAGGTATGAGCTTACAGAAATAACTCAGGGGTTTTTTCCTCGCGTAAAATTTGTCCCTTGTCACTTAGGCGGTTGGATCACGCGACTAGAGGTACATATTTCTTTGAGATATTATTTTCCATCGAATTTTATTAATCCAATAATAATGGAGTCATCTGTGAACTTATTTAAGCGTGTTGTTTCATACTTACGTCTATGATCGTTGGTATATTATTGTATACAAAACTGGTGACAAAACGCATCCTTGAGGACCGCCGGTGTTACAAAAGATTGTGTCAGATTTTTGCTGTTCAGCTTAACATATTATAACTGTGGTCTGCA